CACTCCTCTTACCAACTTTGTGGCTTCCTCTGGACTTGCCCCAACAGTTCCATGTCTTTCTTGTTTTGGAGACACCAGAACTGTAAGTAGTAGAAGGGAAGAATCACCTTTGACCTCTTGCGCATGCTTCTTTGGATGCAGCCCAGTATCCCACTGGTTTCTGGGCTAGGAGTGCTCATTGACAGCTTATACTGAATTCCTTCACCTGTCACCTCCAAGTCCTTCTCCCAGGGCTGCAATTCCTTCTCTGCCCACTCTATAGATGTGTCTKGGATTGCCTTGATCCAGTTCCCACTTTGTTGGACTTCTCAAGATTTGCATCAGCCCCATCTCTCCAGCCTGTCTGGGCCCCTGTGGATCCAACCCTTCACTCCAGCCTGTCGAGCACCCCACATAGCTCAGTGTCATCAGCAAATGTGCCAAGGKTGCCCTCAATCCCTCTGTCCATTTTGCTGACAAAGATGTGGTGCAATAAGGGGAACCCTAGGGAGCAATCACAAGACTGCCAACCTTTCCCAGCCCAGTGTGGCAGAGGGAGTCARCCCATGGATCCAGCCAGCATCCCCCTCCCTACATCTCCCAAACATGTTTTGCATCTCTTGGCCTGTTAAATGCCCACCTGTGGGCAGCCCAGTCTGCACCGCCRTCTGTGGCACATCCCTGTGGGGAAGAAGGAAGGCAGAGAAAGGCTTCAAGCACRAGTTCCACATGCCTGCTGAGACACCAGACGAGCTATTCCCACCAGGATGGTCTGTAGCCACAGGCTCTCTCTGCCCCCAGGGAAGAAGACACAATTGGTTTGGATGTTTTTTTTTAACTGAAAAGTAAGGAATCATTCCTGACCCACAATATGAAGAGATACTTGCTGGAATTACCTCAACTCCAGGAACCTGCAATCACCCCAAGAACAGCTGGGATTCCTTGCAAGGAAGGTGTGGGTCCACCTCAGGATGTTTTTTTGCCAAGTCATAGTATTATTTGGTTGGAAGGGACCTTTAGGATAATCCAGTCCATCTTCCAGTAGACCAGTTTGCTCAAGGCCACRTTCAAATCTACCTTGAACACCTCTAGGTATGGGGCAGCCACAGCATCTGTGGGCAGCCCATGCCAGTGTCTAAATATCAAATGCTGGCTTAAAACCAGGAACCAATCCCATTTGAATGGATCAATGGCCAGAGTGGCTCTATCTATGCTGGAGGCACATTTTGCTTGGTGAGCACACCCACAAACATCACACCCTCCCAGAGCATCAACTGGCAAAGATGAAGAMAATCTCCAAAATAATCCACATGGGGCCAAGTCTGGATGGATCCTSCCCCCAACCCTTTACACCACACTGCTCCCCAAGGATGGCACAAGCTGACCCAGCACCCCTGACCACACACTCAGGGTCTCTGCTGCTTTTGGCAGTACCCCAACAGCATGAAGCRGTGCTGAAGGCAACCTTCAGAATTCTAACTCCTTTCCACCTCCGTGATTAATTTAGCAATGCAAGTGTTTGTTACAAAGTGTTATTTATTAGAATATTACATTGCACTTAAAAAATAAGGGAGGTCTGACCCTGTCATCTTGACCTACTTGAAGGATGCAGGGCCAGACCTACAATAAATATAAATACTATGTACAGTTTATCTAAAATAAATATATAATTTAAAATGAAAAATATCTTGTTAAATAGCTGTTACCCTCCCCCCCCTCCTGCGGCAAAGGAAGCCCCAAGCCCGGTCTCCTCCCTTTCACAGCTTGTTCCTCAGCACACACTGCAGTGGACGGAGAGCCGCTGGAGAGGCCCTGTGTCCCCGACCAGCACCGCTCCCGAGCCCGCTCTGTCCCGGAGGTGGCCACGGAGCTGCCGCAGTGCCGCGCTGCCCGAGCAGCCCCGCCGTCCTGGTGCTCCAGCCAGCCCCCAGCGTGCCGCAGCCCCGTGCCACTGGCGCCGCGGTCTCGCCTCTTCCAGGAGGTAGAAGTGCATTAGTGCCGGCCCCTGCAAGAGAGAGGAGGGAGAGCTCACACCGCTGTCCTGGGCTGCTGTGCCACAGAGCAATCCCTGCATGGTGYCATAGAGGCGCTGTCCCACCCGGCCCGGCAGGAGAACTTTGGTGGACCCAAGCCCCAGCAGCCACTCGCGCCTCTTGGGGCTGGACCCGGGAAGATGGGAGCCAACATACTCCACTATGGCTTTCCAGGGGCCACAGCACATTTTTTCCTGGACATATCCATCCCTGTAATACCCAGGGTAAAGGGGACAGTAAGAAAAGGCTTGTGCCAGATCTCCTTCCCAAAAATTCAGCTCCTATGAACAGCTAAAATTCCCACCCCCAACACTATGACGAACATGACAGAAATTCTCCGAACGCATTACTTCATCCTCACAAAGAACAATGACTTTTCTTTTTTTTTGAAGAAGAGAAGTAGCTGTAATACATATGACCACATCTAACGTCAGGGTTTAGATCAGACCAGAGGAAGTTTGACAGCTTTTCAGCACCCAGCCCTGCAGCCACCCCTGGGGCAGAGCATACACCCTGACCCTGCCAGATGAACATGGCGTGGGCTGGCAGCAAGATACCCCYGTGCCAAGCTGATAGGCACTGCTCTGGTGCAAGTAATAGGCAGAGTGGAAATAAAAAGGAAAGGGGTTTTTTACACATATATATAAATAGAGGCAATATCTAAGGAGGGGAAGTGACTCAGAGGGTCAGAGAAAGAGCAGAACAAGTGGGAAAAAAAACTAAACAAAACAGAAACAGCTTCCCTACTACCAACCATCCCCAAAGCTTGGAACAGTAGTGTTCATGGAACAGCACGGAGCAGAGACTTGAGGTTAGAAAGAAGGTGGGAGTGATCGGGGTGTCAAGGGACAGGGATTTCAGCAGGAAGGGGAGAAAACAGAGCTGGAACCCTGTAGAGCAGCYCAGGCTCTCAGGCCAAATCTAGCCAGCTGCTTCTCCAGACTAGGGCCACCTTCAGATCCTTCCTTTCTCTGGCACAGGATCCACATAGCAGTTCCGGCCAGCACAAACAGCAGAGCCCCCACAGGTCCACCAGCCCCACTGCTGCCCCGTGCCCAGCCAGGGGCTCACCTCGCCAGCACTTGGCATCCTCAGTGATTCACAGTGATGCCCAGCTTGATTTTCTCTTCGTTTTCTACATCGTAGCCACCCCTCTTGTGACACCTGTGAGGCCAAGCAAAGGGATGCTCAGGGCATGGAGAAGTCCCTGTCACCCTCCTCTTTCACACAATCTTCCCAGGGACGCAGATCTGAGAATTCAGTCCCATCCCACTCACCTGAGCATCAGCAGGGCTGCGATGATGACGAGACACAGGGAGGASAGGACAACAGCAACGACAGCCAGGGCTGTGGTGTGGTCGTACGCACTGGGGGGGTGCTCCACCGGCAGCAAGAGGCCGTGGCAGCGCTCTCCATGATACCCTGGCTGGCATCTGGGCAAGAAGGAAAGTCATCAAGGTCAGTGGTGAGCAGGGACAGGAGATCTTTGAGTTCCCCCACACCCCATGGGAAGGGTGTTCAGCCTGTGTGCTCAGCCTTAGTCAGCACCCTCGGTCCCCACACCCCTGAGCTGGTAGGTCTGGTGTCACCATCATCTCTATTGTACTGGTAAATTAAGCTTCTGCACCAAGTAGACTCTTAGAAGGGTTGAGGTCTCCCCCMGTAGAAGGCACTGGGGTCTGTGCTCTTCCCAGTCACCCCCAGGCAGATACAGGCTGCCCAGATCACCTCTGGAAGTGGGAAGGGAGCAGTGAGGCAGCTGGCCCACCATTTCC